AGAGAGAGAGATGCTTTTACTATATGTATAGGTTAATAATATTCCTTTATATTTTCCAAGTTTGTTCACTGAGATTCTCAGTTGCAATGATCACCTAGTATCCAGATCTCGATTTTCAAATACCATTTTCAAATAAATGGAATCAAGGCTTATATCTGGAAAATGTAAGATAAGCCATGTCTTAAGAGTACTAAGAAAAAAGGAAGTGGTCAAAAAGAATAGCAGCTTTTACAACGAAAACAGGGCACAAACTGAAGGTCAAAGATAGAACATTCTTAGCAACAAAATAAATAACTAACCCATAGAAAAAAAAATATTCATGAACCCATATTTATATACGTACATGCATGCATGCATACATACATACAGGCAGACATAATTGAAAAAGGAGCACTTCTATCTTACAGAAGATTCCATTGACAAAGGTAGAGAGAAAGAGATAAAAAGACAGTCATCACCACTGCTACAGCCAAGACCCACTGAGGGACACTAAAATTAGCAGAGTATTTGCATTCTGAAATTATTTCACCCAAGATACATTTCAACTACAAAGGGGAAGACAATAGCTTTATAGGTGCAATCTAGCCCCTAACCAAGTGATCAAGGCTAATCATCCCCAGTGGCAAGACCTAGCAACATCATGATCCCCGGACATGATGCACTAGTAATGACACAGAGCCATTTGTGTAGTATTCTCACCAAAAATGCATAAGCTCTTCTAATCATGAATAAACATGACAGAAACCCAAACAGAAAGGCATTCTAAAAAATAAATGCGTCATATTCTTTAGAAGCATCAAGGTCATAAATGGAGAGGAGGAACTCTCAGACTGGGGAGAAATAATAATTAAGTGAACTGTAAGATCACAAAACTGAAAAAGTAATTAGATGTAAATAACGTCTATAGTCTAGCTACCATTACTGTATCAATGTTAATGTCCTCGTTTTGAATAATGTACTGAAAATAATGTAAGAAATTAGTACATACTACTTTTCGTAACTTCTCTCATACTACTTTTCTGCCACTCTGCCTTGGAGCCAGCCCAATATGGACTGAAACTTACACTGTGAGCTAAATAAACCATTCCTTCCTTAATTTTGGGTGTTGGGTATTTTGTCCCAGCAGAGAGAAAATATTTTTCTATTTTCTCTCAGACTGAAATTAGTTTAAGAAATAACTGTAAGAAATGATTTGGGGCCAGGGAGATGGCTCAGTGGAATAAGCGCTTCCCTGGCAAGTGCAAGGGCCTGAGTTCCATCCCCGGTTCTAAAAAAAAAAAAAAAAAAAAGAATTGTTGTGTACACACAGGTTACTATAATAACTCTCATATTAATTTCACACAAATAAACAAACAAAAAAAAAAATACTGCCAACTACCCCAATCAACACAAATAAAAAAACGAACTATAAAAGAAATAGGTAAGATCCCAGGTAGCTTACTTAGTGCCAAGAACTGAATGCCTTATATGCATTCCCCCATGTAATCCTCACAACAAATCCCACAAAGAAAACAGCATCATCAGCAACACACAGATGAGGGAACAAAGAGATCACTTGTCCAAAAGAGCAGATAAAAATCTAAGAGCTAGAAATAAAACAACAAACCAAAGCCTTGACACATAACCAGGACACAATTCTACCGTCCAAATTCAAACAAACACACATGGATCTCATTTATTGGTAATGCTGTATGAGCTTTGGGGGCCGGGGAGATGGCTCAGTGGAATAAGCGCTTCCCTAGCAAGTACAAGGGCCTGAGTTCAATCCCCAGTTCTAGGAAAAAAAAAAAGAAAAGAAAAGAAATCATTTATTGGTAATAAGGGTTAAATGAAAGAAAAAATTTCCATCAAAACAAGCATCTTGTTCATGAAGTTAGTCACCTCCATATATTGTATGATTCAGCAGACTGCCGCACATTCTTACAACTGCTCTGACCAGGAAACAATGATACCACAGGAGCAGGTTTAGTGTTGACAGCAAGAAGCAGTGGGAATCATAGAAGATTACAGAACCTGGAGCTGAATCCCACTTCACTCCTCCATAATGATACAGAACGATCAAATCTGATCTTCTAGTTAAACAATGGGAGTAAAACAATGGGAGTAAGAACACTTCCACCAGTAACAGTACTAATAAAAGCTGGTTAAGAAGAACTCGCTACGGGCTGGTGAGATGGCCCAGTGGTCTAAAGCACCTACTTAGAACAAGCTTAGCAAAGCACAGGGACCGCGGTTCAATCCCCCAGCACCAAATGCCAGCCAGCCCCGCCCCCTGGTGGGCTGCGCTGGCCACACACACACACACACACACACACATATAAAAAAATTAAAAAAAAAAAAAAAAGAACTTGCCAGCCAGGCGATGTTACAAGAGTATAATCGAAGCTACTCAAAGAGGCAGGAGAATCATTATTTTAGGGCCAGCCTGGGCAACTCAGTGAGATCCTGTCTCAAAATAAAAAAATTTTTAAAGGACTGGGACATAGCTCAGTGGTAGAGTGTTTGGCTAGCATATACAAAGCCCTAAATTCAATCCCCAGTACAGGGGAAAAAAATAGCTTGTTTCCACAAAAATATCACCTAGGTTCTAGATGTAGTTTGTGAAATTCATGAGAGAACCCTGTGTAGTGGTGAACACCTATAACCTTAGCACTCAAGATAGTAGGCTAAGGCAGAAGGATCACTTTGAGTTCAAGGCCAGCCTACACTACAAAGCAAGACCCTGTCTCAAAAGGACGGACAGGGGATGGGGAGATGGCTCAGAGGAATAAGCGCTTCCCTGGCAAGCACAAGGGCCTCAGTTCAATCCCTGGTTCTGGAAAAAAAAAAAAAATCAGACACACACACACACACACACACACACACACACACGACTTTGATGCTCCAGGATGTTGTAATTTTCCAGCAAAAGATGCTATATAAGTCTAACAAAACTTTGTTGAAAAAAATCTATTTCATTTACTTTCATTTCCTTGGCCCTTCCAGTTTTCCTAAGCTATAATTTAAAATTAGGCTCACAATAAGCTGAAAAGTGACTGTCTCAGAGAAGGGTGGCTAGAAGGAAAGAGAAGAGCCCTCCATTGGACAGGTAGCAGATACCTAATAAAGTAATCCATCACAATCACATTTTTACCAGCATAGCATTTCTTCATTTATTCCTTTGTACCTTTTTTCGCCCAGTTCAGGAAAACTGAACTGAAATCCTTCACATTGAGTTATTTTCTATATCCTTTTCTTTTTTAAAAAAAATTGTTTTGAGACAGAATCTTGCTAACTTGCCTAGGCTGCACTCAAACCTGAAATCTTTCTACTTCAGCCACACAAATCCTCGGATTATAGATATGCCACTATATCCTGCCATTTCTTTATACATTTTGAATTTTGTACCATGTTAATACACTTCCTACCCAAAAAAGATACTTATAATAAAATATAATTCCTTAAAATAACTAAATTCAAATGCACATGGACTTGGAGCCAGCAACTCCACAACTCCTATATTTATTCTATAAATAAACCTATAAGGGCCAGGTATGGGACAGCACAGCTATAATCCCAGCCATCCAAAAGGGTGGAGAAGCAAGATCACAAATTCCAGGCCAGCCTGGATAATCTGATGAGAACCTGTCTCAAAATAAAAATGTTTAAATTAAAAATAAAAAAGGGAAAAATAAAAAATAAAAAAGGGGCCCGGGGGATGGCTCAGTGGGGGCCGGGGGAATGGCTCAGTGGAATAAGCGCTTCCCTGGCAAGCGCAAGGACCTGAGTTCAATTCCTGGTTCTGAAAAAAATAAAATTAAATAAATAAGGATGGGATGTAACTCAGTGGTAGAGCACTTGCCCAGTATGCTCAAAATCCTAGGTTCAATACCCAACATAGAAAATAAAATAAAATCTCTGTCCATGTGAAAAATTATGTATATATATATATATATATATATATATATATATATATATATACACAAAACTGATTCATTATATCATTGTGATAACATAAAACTAGAAACAATCTAAATGTCTATCAACTAGGGATTGGTAAAATAAATTATGCATACATATTACAAACGCCATACTATGTCCCCTCTGCTTCTGACCCCTACATATGATCCCCAGGACTTTATCCTTGTTTTTTTCTCAGTGCTCTCTCCCTGGCACACCTGCACATATCAAGATATATCACCAATATGTGGACAAGTTGTACATTGACACCGAGTATGTCTGGTCTCCACAAAGCTTTAGACTCCCAATTCAACTTTCCTACTAATAATATCATTAAAAATCATCAACATGGGGGCTGGGGAGATGGCTCAGTAGAATAAGCGCTTCCCTGGCAAACACAAGGGCCTGAGTTCAATCCCTGGTTCTGCCAAAAAAAAAAAAAAAAAAATCAACATAAGAAAAATAAATCTGTTTATAATCAAAGACATCAATTTCCCTCCAAACCAATTCCCTCTTCTAGGAGTGTCTGGCTTCTACCAGTGTTCTATGTCTTGATTTAGGTGCTGGTAACACAGGTATATGCCTTTGTGAGAGTAAATCAGTTATGCAATTATGATATAGTCATTTTCTTATATGTATTTTATATTTTAATAAAAATGTAGTTTAAAAAAGGAAAAATCTGCAAAGATTCTTAACCCTGGGCACTTCATTGCCAGTCAAATTAAGTTCACAGGACACACTCTGACCTCACCCTATTACTTCTCCACCCCAAAACCCTGACCACAATATTCACTGAATTAGAACATCTCCACACTTGGCTCCCACTGATTGTTCAAGCACTATTTTAAAGGCCATTTCCTTTACAGGGACTTTCCTGATCCTTTTTCCCACTCCTATCCATACCAGATAAGGTTTTCTCCAGTAAGCCAAGTTTCTTTCATAGTAATACCTATTTCTCTAATAGCCGGTTTTTGCTTGCAACTATAGTGGTATTCAATGATAATTATTTGAGGACAAAAACAATGATTACATGTCTTTGAATAACTCTTCATTGCTCCTTTCAAAGAACAGTTATTTCATTTTTATCTTGCAAATACAATAAAAAGAAACATTAACTTTAGCATTAAAGAAATTATAAGCCTTAAAAATTAATTAAAAGGTGACTGTAGTATTTATTTCCTAATTGAGAGGTGAATAATTCCTGAGGATACCAAAGAAATGTAAAGTAAAGTGGGTTTTCAAGACACGAAATCCTTAATCTAAATAGCAGGACATATAGTAATATGCACTCACCTGAGGAATCTGTGTGCTCTTCCCACATCCTGTTTCTCCAACAATCACCACTGTCTGGTAGTTCTCTATCAAGTATAAAATATGATTCCTAAGCTGGAAAAGAGTAACTATGCATTATAAATAGCCATACCTTATCTCTAAAGACCTAAACAAAAATATTTAAACATTGTGAAACAAGCTGTTTCCAAAGTAAGGTAAAATTTAAAAAGAACTATAAAGATACATTCCCAACTCTCAGGGCCCACTGGCATCAGTATGCATTAACACAGCTGCAAGGCAGTGTAATGCTTATCAGCATATATCATGAGCTATTTTTTAATTCAAGATTTTCACTTGGAAGAAACTACACTACAGACATACTAATATATGTACTAAAACAGTATATTCAGGGGCTAGCAAGATGGCTCAGTAGAATAAGCGCTTGCCTGGTAAGCATAAGGGCCTGAGTTCAATCCCTGGTTCCCCCAAAAAAAAAAAAAAAAAGTATATTCAAACATATTCATTGCAGGATTATATATAGTACCCCAAAGTTCAAACAGCCTAAATGTTCAACAAGTGTTTTTTAATTAGCTATAAAACACTCCAACAATTCAGTTACTAAAAGAAATAAATGTCTGTATTAATATAGAATGATCTACAAGATATGAAAAGGAAACAAGGTATAGAAGAGTGAATAACGCACTAGCAGTTGTTTTTAAAGGATAAACATATTATATATGTATATATATATATATATATATATTATACATATACTTTTTTAAAATTTGTAGACTATGTCTAAGAAAATAAAATGAGGAACTATAAACATTGCTGCCTCCGAGGATGGTAAAATACTGAGTGAGAAACAGAGACATGAAGGCCTCTGAGTTTTGTAAAACATGCATTTATACCTAATTAAAGGTTTTTCATTTATTAAGGTTTTATTAAAAAGTCTCAGGGAAAAAATAAAGCATATGCTTTGACCTCTATCTTTAAATGTTAGTTCACAATAAAGCACTCAGTGTGAGAAGCAGAAAAGTATGGCCATTTAAAAGCCACAGGAAAGCCAGGCATGGTGACACAAGTTTATAATTCTAAGGATTACAGGTTCAAGCCCAGCCTGGGTTATTTAGCAGTTTATCAAGATTCTGTCTCCAAATGAGGAACAGGTACTGATAATGCAGCTCAGTGAGAAGGTCCTGGGTTTCATCCCCAGCTGATTACAGACACTCCTGATGTAAACATGTAGTTAGGATTTCATTGTGAAAGCTCATGAATGCAGGGGTTGAGTCTATAATACCTATGAAGCAGTAGGCTGCAGGGAGTAGGATGCAGTGTTTTGAGAAAATTGGGCAGAAGCATGCAAGAATGATTTGGACATTAAGAAGCTGAAAGAGATAGATATATATATAGATATATATAGATATATATAGATATATATATCTATATATATATATATATAAAAAATTTTTTTTCATATCAGGGATTGAACTCAAGACCCAGCCTTCTCATGTGTTATAAATGAAAGGTCAAACATGTGACATCAAGAGAGATGAGGACAATTTTACATAGCAGCATCCAGGCCCCAAGAGGATGCCAGGCTTTCTTGTAACTACACTGGGGAAAAAAAAGAGATAATGGTTAGTCTCTATTTTTGTTTTACTGTTGTTTTTCTGATGCTAGGAACTGACTACACATCCGAACACATACTAGACAAATGCCCTACCACCAGCAGTTTTATTTTATTTTTTTATTTTTTTTTAATTTTATTTATTTATTTATTTATTTTAACAAAATCTCAAAACAAGATTTTAGGAGAGTAATAATGGTTCATACATTGTGTATTGTTACTGCCAAAGTAGTTTCTCATATTACAAGATATAGGCAAGAAATAATAAATAAACAAAATAGGTACAAACCTTTTTTTTTAAAAGTCAACAGAAAATGGAAATACATTTTTTAAAGTTTCTAATACTAGGAGAAGATATCATACAATGTCTTTTAAATAAATTGTAAGTCAAAGATACAGTATAAATCTTAGAACAAAAATTAAGATTAAGCAATATTCAGAAAATTAAATGTTTCAAAACAATTGAACTCAGAAAAAGTTTTCATGATAGCAAAGAAGTACTAAGAGTAAAACATAAGATAAATACTGGAATGGCAAGTAAATGACCAGCACTTCTAACAGTTTGAGGATAGGATATCGCACAAAGTTCTAGTAATTTTAAAACTACTTTTAGTTTAAAGGGACAGAAGTGGTAAGGGGTACATTTTTATCCTTTTTGTCTTCCAGATTTAATCTTTTATTTTATAGGGCTGGTGAGATAGCTCAGTGGTCTAAAGCGCCTGCTTAGGCAAGTGCGCAGGGACTGCGGTTCAATCCCCAGTACCAAATGCCATGTCAGCCCCGCCCCCAGGGTGGGCTGAGCAGGCCACAAAAAAAAAAAAAAAAGTAATAATAATATTTTATTTTATGAGACAGTGTAAAGAAGGCTCAATGATGCTCAGGTGCTGCTTTGCTTTCTGTTCCTTCTTGCCTTATCTGGTTCATTTGTTCCTCCGCCAAAATCAGGATCTCATTACGTTGCCAGGCCTAGTCTTGAACTTTCAATCCTGCCTCAAATTCCCAAGTAGCTGGGATTACAGTTATGTGCTACTTCTCCCAGCTTTGTTTTACTTTATGATAATAAATTATACATCTGTTTTTTTTTTTTAATTTTTTTTTTATTTATTTATTTGAGAGAGAGAGAGAGAGAGAGAGAGAGAGAGAGAGAGAGAGAGAGAGAGAGAGAGAGAGAGAGAGAGAGAGAGAGAGAGGCCAGCTCAGCCCACAGGGGGCGGGCTGGCTGGCATGTGGTGCTGGGGGATTGAACCGCGGTCCCTGATGCTTTTGCTAAGCTTGTTCTAAGTAGGTGCTTTAGACCACTGAGCCATCTCTCCAGCCCCTATACATCTGTTTTTTACATTTTAATTCTATCAATATACAGCAATTTCTTTTCCTTTCTTACCTGCTGTTTCATTTATATCACAGAGTGATGAACAGTCAAGGAAAGCCAAAATTTAAATGGTCAGTAAGCAGTAATTTTCTTGTACTTGAGCACTATGTGTCAGACAGCAGTGTGTAACCTGGGCCCCATATCACTCCTATGAGGCAGGTGCTATTATTAATCCAGTATTATAGAGAAGGAAATGGATGCTCAGAAGGGTGAAACAAGGCCACACAGCACACCAACGATGACGCTTGCGTTAGAAGCTCCAGAGTCCAGAGACCCTTGGTGGTGTGGAAGCCACAGCTAGTCTATCATCTCATCCTCTGAGGGTCATACTCATTAACATTCACGTGTTACTAATTTAGCTCAAGTAGAGGTAAATTAAGAATATTGCGGTTTAGGCCAGTGAGATGGCTCAGTAGAATAAGCACTTGCCTGACAAGCGCAAGGGCCTGAGTTCAATCCCCTATTCTTCCAAAAAAAAAAAAAAAGAAGAAGAATATTGCTGTTTGTATCTCTTTGGAGAAATAATATATGAACAGTACTCTACTACAAGACAAAGGGACCCCTGCGTGTAAGAACTTGGGTTTTGGTTTTGTTTTTTTTTTTTTGGCAAAACCAGGCATTGAACTCAGCTCCTTGCTCTTGCCAGGCAAGCACTTATTCTACTGAGCTATCTCCCCAGCCTCAGAACTTGTCTTTCACCCAGCTCTCTCCAAAAGAAAGAGGGACGTGTGCTGCTGTCCACACCTATCTGTATCGTTTCAGAGGCATTTGAGAGACAAGAAGACTCCAACATCTTTCATCAGAGGCCATATAAAATAAAGATTCTCTGGGTCTATCTGACCTGCCTTTGGCTTTGAGACTACTTTCTGACTATTGCTGGGCTTTCCAAGTAGATTTGCCAAAACAAAAAAAGGATGTTAATCAACTATCCATCAGCACTAGAGTTCACCATCAACCAGAGTGCATTCTTGTTTACCCTTTCGTCTCTAGTGAGCTGAGCATGCATCATTTCATTTGCACTCATATAATACAATATCTGGCTGTACAACTGGCATCTGGTAACCTTGCCAAAATCTCATCACTGCCTCAGCAGGAATTTGAGTGCTAAATGAACACTTCAGTTGAAATAATTCTGAATTTCCAATTAATCTTATTTAAATAAGTACCATTTTAAAGAAAGCAAAAACCGGCCATATGCTAATAATGTGTTACAGATGGGTACACAGAAGTTCACTGTAACATTTTGTCTACTTTTCTATATGTTCGAGATTATACATAATTGAAAGCAATGAGATTAAAAGAATGTCATTGTTCCCATTGTTTAATATGTAAGATCTAAAGGGAAAAATCTTAAGACTGTCCAGATGTAACCAGTTAACACAAACATACACATACACATACAATTTAGAAAAGTATTCCCTTAAATGAGGGCTCCGCTAGTTCAGTGTTTTCAAGAAGCCTGAGTAAAAGGCCACTGTCTACAGTGCCAACCACCTGGCCTTGCCATACCTTAAACACAGGCAGTTTCTGCCTCTGTTGCTCTATGGAGAGGGCAGCATAAGGATTGTAAACGATGGTTGTCCCAGAGTTTTCCGCAACACTTTGTCTCTCTTCAGAGATGCTCACACCTGGCCCCTCTGTACCTGTAGCAGAAATGCTTTTTCAGATCCTCTGACATGGTGAACAGAAAAAGGTTTAAAGGTTATAAATTTTCAAAACTAAAGATATACTACAAAAAAAAAAAGCAATGCTTATCTCAAACTACTGAAAGTATAAAACTTTAAGTTTCAGAAGCTTAAATTTTAAAAAGCTAGGAAAGTACCTATCAAAATATAGACCTCTTTCTTAAATGATTGGCTACCATGTCAAGAACAAAGAGACAGCACTCCCCCAGGCTCCCACTGGCCACCCAGCTCCGTATATTATTAAATTTAAATTCTGAACCAATGAAAGAAACCAAACAGGAACTAGAATTCACTGAGGCCAATCATAAATCCTGTTACTGTGGACTAGCACCCGGACTCAAGAGGAGACAGGCACAGAGGCTTTGAAGGCTACCACACCTTTCTCCTCTCATCTCTATATTTCTTGGTAAGTTCCTCTCAGACCCTTGGGAGGGAGGCTTTTCTACAGGAGCTGGAAACAAGGCTGCTGACAGTGACACAGCTCAGGATCAAAGCTCTTCTGTCAATTGTTCCTGTGCCCACAAGCAAAGATGAGGGTCTACTACATGCCTGGCCCTGGTCCAAGTGCTAGAAATAGAGCAGTGAGCAGTACAGACCCGGCCATGCTCTTGTGGAGTTTCCTTGCTTTTCTCTAGAAGAACGTAACCTGGTACCTGAAATAATAAGAGCTATGGAAATAAAGCACTCTAAGATGGACTGAGAGTCCCAGGTGTTCCCTGTGGACAGGAGTGGTGAAGCCTCTAAATACTGAACCCTCAAGGACTGACTTCTCACAGCTTAGGTCTTCTACTTCTACTGCCCACCCTGATCCAATCACCTTGGGCCAGTGCAGTAGGACACAGTGAATGGCAGCTTCATCTGAACCACAGAGTGGTTACAAAGGAAATGCTATTCCCAGAAACACTGTGAAGAACAAATTAAATAGATAGCCACAGGTTGCTAGGAACAATGACAAAATGATGCTGCTCAATATGGAGAACAGGAGGCTAGATCTCATCCTAAAATCTTGTGGAAGGTACCAGACTTAGCCTGAAAAGGAAAAAGCCTCAGGAGAAACACAGGTTCACATTTTATGATCAACTCTGTGACTTTTCATGCTGATTTGTTCATGTGGTCCTAGGCCCTAGGACTGAATTAGGAATAGTAATTAAATGATGTAAGGTTCAGAATTCAATTCAATGTAAGGAAGTATTTCTTAAAGGTATAGCTGTTCAGTAATGGAGTATGTCACCTTGTAAATCAATAAAAATCCTCCCTACAGCATCCTACTGGGGGAACTATGAGGATAATCACCCAAAACAACTATCCCCCAAGTCCTTGGAACTCAAATGTGTGATGCTACGCGAAAGAACATGGACTTTATGATAACAGTAATTAGCTCAATAATTAAGTTTTACACTTTTTACAGGTCCCAGATCCCTTTAACAATCTGATAAAGGTTATGATTTCGCCCGAAAACCACACCAGAAAAGAAAATTCACCAAACTAGAAAATAGTAGGGGTCCATACCCTTCTTCAGGCTAAGTTTAGAATCATTGCTTTAGATTTCTGTCCGTTTTCATTTACTTCCAGGAACAGTGTTGTGTTCCAGAGGCCCAAGATTGCCAAAAATCAGGTAAGTGGGGCACTGCTGTGCTACTTTTGCCAAAATGCTGACCTTCCTTTCAACAAGATAAAAGATAGAACAGAACCTGGAACAAAGCCTGTTCCCAAAGCAAGTTCTCTCTCCTTTTTTCTCTTACTGCTGCTTCTAGCTGTTTGGTTTTCTTCAGTGCTGAAAAACCCAGAGCCTCACACATGCTAAGCAAGAATCACAGAGCTACCTGCAGCCTTTAATATTGCTACATCATAATAACTCACCATAATTGGGGGGGAGGGGAGAATGAATACTAGGACTTGATCTTCTATAGTTTTTAATCAAGAAAATTATTGCAAAAATATCTCTCTTCTGCTCTATTTATTGCCAGACATCCTTCCTTTTCAAAACATTTTAAGCTGTTCGTTCATGTCTGGAATATTTTCATACTGCTCGTACAAAGTCTCTTTCTTATTCCTACAGCCAGGTTTAAGGTAAACAAGGTCTTGCTCACTACTCCTTGTCTCTAATCCACAGCCCAGCCCATCTCAGTATATTGTTATGATCTCATTCGCAAGAGAAGCTGCTGTCAATTAAGAGGTTTTTTTTTTTAAAGAGTACAAACTAGAATTAAAAGAAAAAATTACCAGTGATACAGAATTTCACTTAACAAAATATGAACTTCTGAGTATTTATTGTAATAGTGTTGTCTTCCAACCAGTTATTCATGTTACCAGATATATGCATGTAAAATTAGAAGAAATGTATAAGAAACTAAGAAAAGTACAAACAATTGAAAAAAGGAGACAAAACAAATTAAGTATTATCTGATCCTTTCCACAGAGCAGCTGAAATGTACAGTATAGCTGTCCATACCATCCTGCTTACATGCCTAGATAAATCTCTTTGTCCTACTCTCTCTCCTGTCCTTCTCCTCAACTCAGTAACTCTTTCCTTTTGAATAAGTTCATTCCCTTTTCCCAGTATCTGTTGTCCCTTCAGATTTCATTTTTCTTTTTCAGGCAATCAACAGAGTAAACCTTTTTACAAAAGACTTCATTCAGCCAAACCAGAATCTTAGGGCTGCTTTTCGCTCTCTGCACATCCCGGAGGCCACTCAGCTGCTTATGCCTGCTTTTCTTTAAGTACTCTGTTTACAGGTAACAACTTTATAATTTTTTCAAACCATAAACGGCTTCATTTCTCCATTTATTAAAAGAGAAAAGCTCCTTAATAGCACCTCTGGGACTGGGGAGATAGCTCAGTGGAATAAATAATTGCCTGGCAACCGTTGGGTCCTGAGTTTGATCCCTGGCACCACAAAATAAATAAATAAATAAATAAATAAATAAATAAATAAATAAAATAGCACCCCCTATTCAGTATTCCCTTTAGTCCAGCTTGTCAAAATCTGGTGACCCATTACTGGATTATGAATTCCATTTAATGGGTCATGCCAGCACTTTTAAAATAATAACACAAAAACAGAGTAGCTCATTAGAGTGTATACTTAGCAAATGTGAGGTACTGGGTTCCATCTCCAGCATCACAAAGGAAGGAAGAAAGGAGTGGAGGGAGAAAACAGGAATAGAGCACATTTCAGAAAACAGTGTTTGTGTCCAATTTCTTCCATCATGTGTATGTGCTAGGTCACAACATATACAAGAAATAATCAAAATAACAAGAGAATGATTAATTTTCTTAAATTTATTAAGTAAAAGACACAATGCTATTAATCCCTTCAAAATACTCCTGTCTTCAAACACACTTATCCGGGGCCAGGGAAATGGCTCGGTAGAATAAGCCCTTGCCTGGCAAGCACAAGGGCCTGCGTTCAAAACCCCGGTTCCACCAAAAAAAACCAAAAAAACAGCCCATCACTGTTGCCACTTTCTGAAAGTTCTGGAAGTCCTCTTCTGTAAAAATCTTCATGAGGTGTAATCAAAATTACAGTGAATGCTGCTGTTGAGGGCCATCCAATGGAAAGGCAGACTTATAAAAATATTAGTGCGTCCTCATCCACGTTATTCACTGGATCTGGTACCATGAAACTTCTTGCTCTTCCCCCAAGTCAAAATGACCACAAACCATACAACATTTATAAAGATGACTTTCAGAACTGCTTCTGAAAGTAACAGGAACATGAACTAATTGTTTTCAAAAGAAGGGGGGTGATATTGAAGCTAACAACAATGTATCTTTTTAATGTATTTTATTTCAACATTCACTCCTTCTGGAGTTAGTAGTACCCTCTCTTAAGACTGTCCCTTCCTCTGATGTCCTCCTCCATTCATTCTCCATTTGCCATGCCACTGCCAAGGTAAATCTATGTAACTTACCTGCTTAAACAGTAGAGCTGAAATTCTTCAACTTTTCATCAAGATTTATCACAAGGTCTATTTGTCTAACATTATCTCCTGTCACACCCCAAACTGTACCCTACTACATAAAACCATTACACTACTCAACTGTTTTGGTTTTCTAAGTTTGTTTTACACAGGGTCTCACTCTATAGTACAGGCTGGCCTTGAACTCACTATGGAGCTCTGGTTGCCCTCAAACTCATGACAATTCTCCTGCCTCAGCATCCCAAATTTTGGGATTACAGGTGCATGTTACCATAGGCAGTTACTTTTGGACATTCCAAAAACACAAATCCACGCTGCCTTTATTCATACTGTGCCATTTGTTTAGAGTTCCTTTCCCCAACTACTCCACAAAATAAAGTATTATTTGTCCCTCAATATTTACTTCATCTTCACGATGTACCATTACTGTATTTTTAGATCACAACTTGTATTTCTTACTTGGGTCAGGTCAAAACCGGCAAACAGCAGTAGAGCACCCCCAGGTTCACTCTCCAGCACTGGAGAGGGAAAAAAAACACTTCAAAGCTGTTACCATCTTCAAATGTATCAATGTTACCATCTTTATCAAGTATTTATCTACATATTCAATTTTTCCTTCCCTCTTGTATAAAGCCACATAAATGTTACTTCACAACAATTTATTCATGGGAAATTATGGGTAGCATAATCAAGACTTTGAGGACTTCCATGACTGTTTCTGTTTTTTGCGGTACCAGGAATTGAACTCAGGACCTAGTGCTCGCCAGGGAAGCGCTTATTCTACTAAGCTATCTCCCTGGCCTCCATGACTATTAAGCCAAGTTAGCGACTGGTATCCAAGATGAACACTGCAGTCTGACTACTGATCCCAAATTCTTTTTTTTTTTTTTTTTTAATGTATTTAGTACAGGGTCTACAGTGTTTCACTAAGTAAATCGGACTCATAGTGATTCTGCTGTTTTCAGTCTTCCAAGCTCTGCACACTGGAGAGATTGAACCCTGCCCAGCACGCAGGCAGTTTAGTCCGCTGAGCTATCTGGCCCGGCCCACTGATCTCAGATTCTTTACCTCTCTCTTATTTTCATCATTCAAAGTGGATTGGTTTTGTTTTGTTTTGTTTTGTTTTGTTTTGTTTTGTTTGCAGAACCGGGGATTGAACTAAGGCCCTTGCACTTGCCAGGGAAGCGCTTATTCCACTGAGCCATCTCCTTGGCCCCTCAAAGTGTTTTTTAATGGACATTTAACTTCACGTTCAATTGAGAACACTCCTTTAGAGAACTCAGAACATCTACATTTGCCTCCTGGCTACGGGCTTAAAGACTCAATAACCACATTCTCAACTAAATATAAAACTTTTCAAAGTAGGGGCTGGGGAGACGGCTCAGTGGAATAAGCACTGCCCTGGCAAGTGCAAGGGTCTGAGTTCAATCCCCAGTTCCACAAAAAAATAAATAAAAAATCAAAACTTTTCAAAGTAATTTCAGATTCTCTAACCAAAAAGTACCTGGTATAATTTTCAACAACTTATTCAGGCTTTTACTAGACTTAGCACTGTGTTTCTGTTTTTGTTTTTTGTTTTGTGTGTGTGTGTGGTTTGGTTTGGTTTGGTTTGGTTTGGAGAGTTTTTTGTGGGGGGAGAAGGTCAGACTGGCCTCTAACTCTCAGTGATCCTCTTGCCTCAGTCTCCCAAGTGCTGAGATCAAAAGTTTGCAGCACCACCACACTCCGCTGTACTTAGCACTTTGGTCTATTATTAAAAGCTTGAGTAAATAAGGTAGCTCACTACTTAATGGAATTCTAGTTTTGACCATTAATAAAACTCAGGATAATTGGCTATAGCCTTGAAATGCTGAGTCATAAAACTGCCAGAAAGAGACAAATCAAAGATTTTTAAAGGAATTAAGGACATTGTTCACTTGGATTTAACTCTCACATCATTTACATGCATAATCACAACAAATTGGCGCAGTGATTGAGGGGCTGTTAATAAACTTATTTTTAAAAGGAACTAGTGGACAAAGTGAAAGCACAGTGCACCCAGCATGGTCTGAAAACACATTGAAAAAAAAAAAGATTAAGTGCCAAAACAAAAAAAAAAAAGCACTTGGTGTTAGTCTTCTGTTAATCCACAAGTCAGAAGAGGATGATGACCAGGTAAAGTGATGCAGACCTGTAATCCTAGCACTTAGGATGCTGGGGCAGGAGGACTGCCCTGAGTTCAAGGCCAGCCTGGGCTATATAATAAGTTTAAGACCAGCTTGAACTGCATAGCCTCAAAACACACACATCCCCAAAAAGTGGCCGCTGGCCAACATAATAAAGAAGGGTGTTCGTTTTCTGGCACGAAGACACTAAGGTCAGGGTGGACTAGAATATAACACACTTCCTCTTCTCTAAGACCACGTAAAAGTGGGATAGTGTATTGTGTTCATTATTCAAGCCCACATGATGGGATTACTCTGCCCATTGCACACGTGAGGAAACCAAAGCTCACAGAGGTCTGCCGACTTGCCCAAGGTCGCTCTACTGCTATAAAGCAGACAAAGATCAGGCAACCTGACGCCACAGCTCCTAAGCCCTTGGGAACCACACTGACTTTCGGGCACCAACGTAGCCCAAGAGAGGTTGCCCCCCACGCGGCGTAGGTGCTTTAGGATTCCGCTTCACGCTGGATGAGCAAGACGGGAAATCATTAATGAGGGAAATGAGGCCCGAGGAGGAAGAGATTGGAACAAGGGCACACAGTTTCTGCCCAGGTTGGGGGCGGACTCCCGAATCCCCCGGGACCGCTGTGGGCGCCAGAACCCGAGCCCACTGGGTCAGAGGGGCTTAGCCCGCCGAGATCAGGCCTCCGAGCAGGTCTGCAAGCCCCAGGGTGCTCGCCACGACGCCAAGCCTGAAGTCAGGCAGGCGCTTCTGCCCGCCGTTCTGCTGAGGGTCTTACCCGGTCGCCAGAACTTCACGGGTCGCAAGGGCGCAGCCATGCTGGGGTGAAAGGTCACGAGGAAGGCTCCACCCCGCTGCCGCTCACGAGTCCCGCGGACCCAGGGGGCGTGGCCCGCGAAGAGCCTCTCCGGGCCCAGACCTCGAGTGTGAAGGCCACGCCCCTAGCTACCGCCCTCCCTAACACGTGACCAACCAGGAGCGCTTCGGCCCCACCCCCATCTCGGACCCACGTGACCCGCTGGTTCCTGCCAGAGCGAGAGCTTTTTCCTCTGCGGCTCCGGAGCCTGTGGGGGAGGGTCGGGCTTCCGCGCCGCTAGTGGGTGAGACGCGGCCTCAGATGCACCCGCACCTGGCACGGTGCGAGCTCACGGGGAGGACCACAGGGAAACCCTTGCGAGCGACGTCCGAGGAGGCCCTGCTTCTGGATTAAGAGACCTTGTACCTAGGTTTAATGTAATTGTTTCACGTGATTTGTGTTTTCTGGCTTCTAATATATATTTATGATAACAAGCCAAAGACGTAAATCTGACGCTGCCCCCCCCCCAAAAAAAACTCTACCAAATACTGATTGTATTACATAATGTCCTAGCTTTGCTACTTCTCTTTCAGACCTTATTTTCAAATTGAAAAATAATAATTATCTCTGCGAACATTCAGCACCTACTGTGTGCCCAGGTACTGGGTTTTCTCATGGAGTTAGCATGGGGGTGGGGAGGTAATGATAGGATAAATAAATGCTGTGCAAAGGTATTACTCTCAGCAGTTAAGGCAGTAAAATGATAAGACTTTTGTTTCAGCAACACTAGAAGTAAGACTGGAAAACGCGGGATAGGGTACAAGGATAAATAGGTTGGCATGAGAGGCTGGAAAGCAGGTAACTTTGGCGGAGACATTCACACAGTATTTTTCTCTAGTTTATCTGATCATGAATCCAATGCTTGTTAAAAATGCAGATTCCAAGCCAGATGTGGCTGGGGATGTAGCTCAGCAGCAAGGAAGTTGGCAAGCAGGAGCTGCTGGGTTGGATTCCTGGTACAACACCAACAACAAAAGAAGCCAGATGGGGCTGGGGAGGTGGCTCGGTAGAATAAGCACTTGCCTAGCAAGCACAAGGGCCTGAGTTCAATCCCTGATTCCGCCAAAAAAAAAAGCCAGATGTGCTGGCACACACCTGTCATCCCAACACCTAGGAGCTTGAGCCAAGAAATCTTAAAAATGCAGACTAGTCGGCATTCTTGAACCAGTATTTTAGCAAACTGGGCAATCTAAACCCGGTGGTTCATGTGTGTTCCCTCAATACTTGCTAAACTGAAGGAAGGCAGGCTGGTGAGTTTGCGCCTCACCTGAACAACTTGATGATTTTGCAGTGATTTAGGAAGACTGTCTCTAAATAAAGGGCTGCGGTTGTAACTCTGGGAAGGCCTAAATTTCAATCCCAGTGGGGGACAGGAAGGAGAAGTGAGCAGCTTTCAAACTGGTAGTGAAATTATGGCATGCATGTTACTTGTATTTTGGTACGCCACCAACAAAAAAAAAACCAGATGGGGCCGGAGAGATGGACAAAACATGTTAATGTATGAACTTTTTTTTTTTAACTAAAACCTCAGTGTTCATGTTTAATTTCAGTGTTGGCACTTTGTGATAAGTAAGTGGATTTGGGGTTATAGTTTGGACATCTATCTTTAACAGGTTTCCCATCACTGCTTTAGAATTCACGTTTTTGGACCTGATAAGAAAACAGAATTAGGGCTGGTGAGATGGCTCAGTGGTCTAAAGCACCTACTTTAGAACAAGCTCAGCGAAGCACAGGGACCTCGGTTCAATCCCCCAGCACCACATGCCAGCCAGCCCCGCCCCCTGGTGGGCTGAGCTGGCCACACACAAAATAAATAAATAAAATAAATAAATTTAAAAAAAAAAAAAAAACAGAATTATTGGAAGAAAAAAAAATTACAGTTATGGCATGAACAAAGACTCTGTAGACTGATTTGGCCATTTCCTGACTACTAGGTAACATTTAATCTTAGCTATAAAATGAGAGGGTTTTTTTTTTTTTTTTTTTTTTCAAAAAGAAATTTAGTACATGTCTGCAGTACACATCTCAGTTTTTTTTTAGTCTCTTCCCCTTCTGACCTTCTCCCTCCCTCCCACCATTTTTTGGTCTTATTTCCTATTAGCTACTTATATGTTGCTCCTCATTTAAAATTTAGGGTTTCTAGGGCTGGCCAAATAGCTCAGCAGATTAAAGTGCTTGCAAGCACGGACAGGGGCCCAAGGTTCGATCCCCAGGACCTGCTGTGCTAGCCCCACCCCTAGCGCTCGCTGAGACAGCAGTTGAGACTGGGCGTTGTAATGCACACCTGTAATCCCAGCTCTTGGGAGGCTGTATACAGGTGGATCACTATGAGTCCGATCTAGTAGTAAGACGGTGGATCACTATGAGTCCGATCTAGTAGTAAGACGCTGAACACCCTGTAGACCCTTCCCTAAAATACAATAAATAAATAAATAAATAAAAATAAAATTTAAGGTTTCTCATAGAAAGAATGTAGTATTAAGCATACATGTCTGATTTATTTCACTTTATGGTTTCAAGGTGCATGTGTGTCCTTATGTATGACTCAAGTTTATCCTTTGTGGCAGGAGTACTCTGATGTATATAAATACCCAGCGTCATAAAGGGGATACCAGCTCATGGCCAAGGCCCTGAACTCAATCCCAAGTACAGGCTGGGGTTGGGAAGGACAACCTCATTCAATGTCCAGCTCTACTACTTCTCTAAATTCTATCAAATTTAAGCATCTCCCCTGTAGATTCAGGACCTGCATGCTCACTTTTGTGGTGATATTTAGTTGAACTGTAATCCCCAAAATCATACAGAGAACTTCTTGAGGACAAGGACCATGTCACACTCATATTCATTGCTTCAAGTTGTAATAATCTACACTAACAAAAATATACATTATCATTACTTTAATGCATATTTCAATACCATGTGATTTTTTTTCTTTGTCTTCCTTTTCAATGCTAAGAATCAGTCCCAGGACCTCTCACATACTACACAACTGCTCTACCCTGAGTGATAGCCCAGGGTAACACCAGACATTATATTTAGTTTTAGTTCTTTATCACACTGATCCTTTTTTTTTTTTTTTGTCTTATTTCCACTAACAATGTAAATATAAGAAATAAGATGTAGACATCACATTGGTAAAATAAACACCAATTTGGGTCCAGAGCTTTTTTGTATTTTGAGACAGTCACTCACTGAATTGTCTGGTCTGGGTTTGAACTTGCAGTCTTCCTGCCTCAGTCTCCTAGCGTGCTGGGATTACAGATGGGCACCAGTCTTACTATGTTGCCCAAGGTAGACTCATACTCCCAGGCTCAGCCTTCCTCCTGCCTAGGCCTACCAGAGTAGCTGAGATGCAGGTATGTGTCACCAGCTTTACTTTTTATATTTCATACTATTCATGATAAAATGAAGAAATTTTCCTGTGAGCAGGGTGGGATGGCTATGCAGAAACTGTTGGATCACAGTTTCAAAGCTGGAGAAGACAATTCAGCATCTAAACAACTTGTTTTAGGGAAGAGAAAATTGAAGTCCATGGAGATTAAAAAGACTTCCCTGGAATCAATGAACTGTTTTAGTACCAGAAGCAAAACTAGAACTCAGCCTTTCTAATTTCCAGGCTAATGTTTTTTCACCCACACGGACCATTGAAGCCTATTAAAGCTAAGCTCTTGTAAATGACAATTAGTTTATCTGCCTTAGAAAGTTCTCAAAGTCCAACTACCCCAATGGTTTGTTTTGCTTATCTAGACACCTATCTAAAACACCTATGTAATAACCTATATATTGATGGCACAGTTTTATTGTCACAAATTAATAATGGTCCCAAAAACTCTTAGTCTTTCTAATCAACTATTTTTAAGAAGAATGGCTTAAAGGAACAACATTAAAATTAAGCCATTTTTTAAGGTAGCATTCAGAATTTAATTTAGCAGAATTTAATTTAGCTTAATTGCCTTTTCTTACTTAGGAATACATTTTGCACTTGCAAATGATAGATATTTTCCAGAAAAATGTTCCCCAATGTCATGTTTCTTGAGTACAGTACATTTTCCTGTCCCAATATTAACTAGCAGTCTCTGTTTTGATTCCATATCAAGTGCATTGATTAAATGTGGGATGCACAGGACTTGGGGATTTTTATCTTTTCACCCATTAAGGCTTTTATGGATGCAAGTGATAAAAACCCAACCCAATCTCTTCTAGGCAAAAAATGGTTTGTGTAAACTAGAAGATTTAGCCTGACTTGAAACACAGCTACATCAGGACACATATGACATGCTCAGGACTTTAATCATACTGTTCTAGTACCTTCTCACTCAGATACAACCTGGTAACAAGATGGCCATATATACTTCCTCCTAAGCATCAAGCTTCTTTCCCAAAGCCCTGCCAGAAGTGTGTAGCTGGTTCATATATCCATCCCCGAATCAGTCCTTAGGGAATATGATGAATGCCTCATACCTTGGTGCATGTTCCACCCCTGTGGGTCAGGTGTGGTCAGCTTCATAGGAGCCAAACAGACTGAGAGTTAGGAACTGAATGGTTTCTCAGAAAGAAACGTGAAGGTGAGATTACCGAGGATCGAGACCATGAGTGAGGCAAAAATAACCTATCCATTACAACCAATCTTATGTCCATGAACTATTAAGCTTCCTAAGGGAGGAAGATTATAACACCCCTGAGTAGGCTCCATAAAGCCAGAGTCTATTGCCTACCCTGAAAAGAGGGCTTTTGTAGAATTGCTGTATGAATTTGTTCTACACCAAGATTTTCCAAAGTCTAAGGAAAAGTCCCCTGCAACTGTTACGTGTAAACCCGTCTGGTTTGTTGGCTTGCACACTGATGATCACATTCACATGTGCGTTAGCAAGCAAACATCCTTAACTCCAAGGATCTGAAGAGAATTGAGATGAGCCCGGAAGACACTCAGCAACCAAAGGATCTTTGATCACATTGGCCTGAAGAGCATTCAAGTCCCTAGAGTTGGGTGAATTGGGCAAGCCTCCTTAGGTTGGCAGCTGCTTTCTAGATAGTCTCAAAACTGGGACACTTCTGAGAATGAAAGGGAGTGTTTCACAGATGGGACTTGGGGATAAGACACAAGCTGGACCTCTGCCAGGCAAATTGGGGCACCTCTCTAGGTGTGCAGCTCCAGTGAAACCCGGTGTAACAGTGCTTCTCTGAATACATAAAACATAAGCCACAGAGCAATCTCATAGATACTTCTCAAGTATCAATCAACTACCATCCTGGACTTTAATTTGAATGTAGCCCAGAATATCTACCATTGTTTTTATACCAGGATATGATTATCAGAATGCATCACAGTGCCTTGTTTGGTTTTGTTTTGAAACAGGGTTTCACTATGCAGTTCAGGCTGGTCTTGAACTCACAACG